TGGACGGCCGGGTGCCCCCACCGCGGCCATGGGTGGCGGGAGCGCGGCGGCAGGCCTGTGAGGAAACACCAGGGGGATGAGGGATGAAGGTTGTGTTGCACGCAGCACACAATGGGTCCCGGCCGTCCCTCGATGCAGCCCCGGCACCATGTTTTGGGTGCATTGAGCGCGTGCCGACACGCATACTCAAGACGAGGTGGCCACTGCCTGCCTCTCTCCTGAGACCCTCATCAAAAGATTGGTTCTCAGCGGAATCACGCACCCTCGGTCGGAGAGGCCATCGTGTTGCTGCCGCAGGGCCAGGGGTGGGGGAGCTGCCAGGGCAGCCTTGGCAGCGCGAACCTCCTCTTCTTCGCCCCTCTTTACCCAGGCCTTGAGCTGCAGACGGAATCCGGGCAGGCAAAGTGCTGGGCTGATAGGTTGAGGCCTGGAGTGCCACCAGAGGAAGCTGGGCAGACAGGTGAGCAGTGCTCAGCTGCACCGCGTGATACCCCAGGGTGAGGCACACTGGTACCCGAGTTCTCACCTCTTCGTTGAAATACATGTCGAGCTCCTCTCCGAGTTTGGCCTTGGTGACCTTCTTCCCTCGCCCCTGCGTGGCGGGATGGGCAGAGGACGACCCCTTCCTCAGACTGATCCGGCATACAAAATGCTGCCAATGTGGTCCTTTACCGCCACCCAGCTTACAAGGAGTCTGCCAAAGACGCCAGGCGGGGCCTCGGTCTTGTCAGGTGGGGGGGCTGTCGCTGTAGACATTGTGGGGGGGGTCCAGAGACCAATCCTCAAGCTCTCTCCCGATGCGTGCAACGAACTGCAATGATAAGGTATCAAGCGCGCCCTCAGGCGAGCTCTCTGAACACTGCTGCGCGATTCCAGTCTTGGTAGAGGAGGCGATCGCACTCGGCTGTGCGAATCAGCAATCTGAGCCCAGCCTGGTGCGAGGCCTTGCTAGTCATCGCACATTACGTGGCGTGAAATAAAGCACGCAACAGGGAGGCATGCCTTTTTGGCGAGGATCGACACGGTTCTGTGTCTTGCTACCAGTATCGCGACAGTTGGGGTGGACCGCGAAATTTCACTCGCTCCAGGGGATTGGGCCCACCAGATTCACACAACGACATGCTCCAGGAGCCACATCCCACTCAATGGTAGGAGTTGAGGATGCATCGTTGATCACATGTCCCTTGCTAATACTATATCATTGCAATTGCATGTCAATGGCATCAATGCCCGCTCCTGCGCCGTCTGTATTTGCTGCAATCTCTCCCAGCACGATCTCCCCTGACAGGACATGGGTGGGGCACAGCAGGCAGTTCTGAGTGGCACGTACTCCCTCTCGACACTTCTTACTTGGCATAGCTGGAATGGGGAGTCATGCGTGTGGCTTCCGCCCAGCATCATGAAAGTGATTCAAGAGTAATGCCTGCCAAGTTGACCTTGCAGCGGGACCCAAGCACTCCCCAACGACAGCACAAGCGCCCCACTGGGCATGTCTTCTCAAACAACGCCTGGGCTCATAGTTTTCCAATGAGGCCCAGCACATCATCGTCTGTCACGGCGCTCCCTGGCAGCAGGGGTGTCAGGTGCAGGGAGGCTGCACAGTCTGACAGCAGCTCAAAGTCCTCGACTGTGGATTTGGGCGCAGCAATAAGGCTGGGACGACGCACTGCACCATCAACTCTCAGTGACGCTCCGACTCAAATCCTGGCATGTCTGGGCTTCCCTGTGCAACCAACATGGTACCCACCCAGCCTCCAGGGCGCACACTCACCCAGGCAGGCCTCGGCGACTCGGCAAACCTCCTGGAACAGGGTATGGGCGCTCCTGGACCCTGGTGCCCACCCGATCCTGACCAGGGCACCTGTCCGCGCCCCATCCACGCCCTGTGTCGATTGGAAAGTGCGGGTGCCGTGTCTGATGTGCGTGCACCTTCACACTCCTGCACGCTGGTCCACGCCATGATATCACCACCTCCCCCACAGATGTAAGCACACCAGAACACAGAAGCCATGCTATGATTCTCCCCCCCCCAAAACAACATACACACGCCAAGCCCACTTGCCCTGAGGACGCGTCGCTGCAGCACAAACACGGCGGCACCCGCGTCCTGGAACAGAGACAGCGGCGGGAGCGGCGTGCACGGCGCCGGCGGCGGCTGGGCCTGCGCCGGGTCGGCCCGGCCCGTGTCGACGCTCGCGCGATCCTCGTCCCCCGACCGCTCGGCGTCTGTGGGAGGAGATCGGAGGCTTGCCTCTGGCCCGGGAAGCCCTCCACGCCCGACGTCAAGCAATCTGCGCGCCTTGGAGGGGCGCCCCCACGCGGCCCACATGCCATCTGCCGGCCGGCCGCCCCCGCGCAGCTCATTCCAGGGTGCAGACTGTCTTGCGCCCCCCCACCCCCCACCCCCCCCGCCCAGGAGTGGACTCTCACCTTGGCAGCTGCTGATGGCAGCACCGGGCTGTCCGCCCGATCGCCGCCGCTTGGGCCGGCCGTTGATCAGGTAGAAGCCGCCCATGTCCTGGCCGGGCCTGCGCATGGCATGGGCATTGGAGGGGTGTTGGGATTGGCTGTACATGCCCTCGTCCCGCGCACCAAGCGATGACCTCCACCTGCGCCATGCTAGACTGTGTGAGGAGGTGGCACCCTTTCCAGCCAGGACGTGGGGCCACCAGAAGCTGGCGGGGACATCGATACCAGGGCCCCTGGCAGTGAAATCTCCCCAGCGGAACACGGCAACACACCAACATCAGGGACCGGCCTGCCTTCGCAGGACAGACGCACCTGCGTGGCGAGGGTGGGCGGATTTGGGCCGGAGGCCCCTCCCCCGCGTCCTCGGAGTGCTGCGCCCCACGCCCCGTGGGCGGCGTGCTCCTGGGAGCGAGTCCGCTGGCGCCGGGGCTGAGGAGGGCAGCGGCGGCGGCGGGGCTCCCGCCGTCCGCAAAATACTGGACGGGCCGCGAGGTGCCTGCATTGAGGGCAGGGCGGGAGTCGGAGTACTCAGATGTACCCTACCTGGCTCAGGCAAGGTGCTGGCAGCATACAGGATCTGGAAGGCTGGGGATGAATCTGCGTCCCTTGCGCACCCACTTTCCATCAGAGACCCCTGAGCCACAAGGTCCCCTTCCCCCTCCCAATGTTCTCCCTCCAACATCGGGGGCGGGGCCCAGAAAATCACATACGCACCGTGTCGCTTCAGCCAGATGCCGCAGGCATTGCAGAGCATGCCGTCCGGACTGATGTCCCGCCACCATCTCGGGGTTTGCTGGGAGCCGCAGTGGGAGCAGGTGGAAGGGGCCTGTGCCTGCAGCGCCGACGGGGAGTGGGCCCGGGGGGGTCTGTCATCCACATCGGCGTGTGCGGCCTGTAACAGCCCCGTAGCACCACAGGTTCAGGCCTGCCCACCTGGTTGCGGTGTCCACGGCCCCCCGATATTGCAGGCCCCGCCCCCGCCAGCGCCTTGATGAAGGGCTCCGGCACTTTGGACCAGGGCTGGCCTACGGGGGAAGGGTTGTGTGCAGGCACTGAACATCGCCGCATGCGCAGGGCAATCAGCCTCCCATGCGCCACAAGCCGCTGCCTTGCCAAGACAAGGCACGCAGGCTCCCGGCATCACGCCTTGCTGTCCACCCCAATAGAAACAGCAGGGGCATGCCTTGGGGTGCAGCTCTGGGCTGGCCAAGATGAGCTTGTGGGAAGGAGGCACACGCCGCTCCCGTGGCTCCCCCGAGGAAGGTCAGCAGCTCCACCGCATCCCTCATCGGCGCCTTATCTTCTATTGGACCGGGAGCGGGGATGGCACGATCCTTGCCCACGCTCGTGCCTGCATCCGATGCAGGCCCGGACGCCCGGGTCTGGTTGGGAGGCTCCAGCTCTGACTGCAATGATCAGATTGAGGTTCCTTTGCATATCCTAGGTTTATCGTGCAGGTTCACGACCTCCAAGCAGCGAGAGAGCGCTGCTTGCCCCCGACCTGAGCCCACGTGCGCAGCAGTCGCCGACTTGCTGGCGTGCGAGGAGGACATCACAGGCAGGAAAGGCCCTCGGATGGAATAAATATTCCAGGCAAAGGCCATTCAGCGTACCTTGAGAATGTGGGATCGACCTCGAGGCTCTAAAAGCTCGCCAGCACTCCTACAAGCTGTGCAGGATGGTCGAGTTTCTCGCAATGTATCGGAAGGCTTTGTCAAGTTGATGAGGTAATGGGTTCTCAATCCTCTTTCATAGCAAAATAAACATGCTCCTGCTGTGGCTTAGGAGGCGCCTTTGCAAAAGTACGCGAAGCCTGGAGATGCTGATCAGTCGGCAGGTCAACTCCGCATTTGAGGCGCATTAGCCCGAATGCTCTCCCAAGTCAACTAGAAGGCATTCATGCTTGTTGATTGACGGTACGGGTTGATTGGACTCTCGAAAATTGGAGGGCAATGCGGTCCGCCTGATCTGCAGATTCTGGTACTACCACTCCCAAACACTTCATGGTTCGGCCCTGGAGCACATCTGTTCAACTCGAGGCTCACATCCTGCCATTCATGGCATGAATTGAAGACTTTGCACAAGGATACAATGCTTCAAAAGCAGCCACCCAGCTGGCGTCTTCATGCACCCGCCGACCTGTGAAATAGCAATGTTGTGGATCGAGAGGCAATAATGCGGTCTTTTATATTGTTCTTATAAGTTCGAATCTCACTGAGCATGAGCTACACGAGGATACTGTGAAAACTACGTGCCCATGATGTCGCACCTTCATCCTGCCTGCCCCCGGTGATCGGGAGGTGCCGAGGCTCCGTTACACACTTGAAATGAAAGAATGCAACAAGCACCAGACGACCCCATCAGCATCATTGTGAAAGGCACACATATGTATAAAGTCAGTTACATCTTGTTCTTAGCTTTACTGTCGGCTTGAGCGGTGACGCTCGGGGGCGAGAGGCGATCGCTGCGCCTTGGGGGGCGCACTCGCAGACCTCCAGCGGGGTCTGCTCGCTCCCCAACCCAGAGACTGAATGGACTTGGATGCCTGGATCGTGCAGCTGAAAAGATGCGAGCCCCTGAAGGAGGCCCAAGTGAAGCTGTTGTGCGAGAGAGCGATAGAGATTCTAGTGGAGGAGGGCAACGTGCAGCACATAGAGGCCCCAGTCACGATATGTGAGTCTAGCGAAGGTGGGAGGAACAACAAGAGTCACCAGGTCAGTGGTGGGAGTGCTCACTGCCAGCGCCTGACCCTGCAGGTGGCGACATCCATGGCCAGTTTTATGACCTCATGGAGCTGTTCAAGGTCGGGGGCGACTGTCCAAAGGTGAGCAGGCTGGGGCTGCACCCGGAACATCCATCCCGGTCCCACGCATGCTGTCCACCTCATTCCCTGTGCCACGCAATGATATGGCTGTTGGCGGCCTCCCTCTCCCCCTCCGCGCAGACAAACTACCTCTTCATGGGCGATTTCGTGGACAGGGGATTCCACAGCGTAGAGACCTTTCTCCTCCTGCTGACCCTCAAGGTGTGTGCTTGGGTGCGGGTTCATGGGGCTGGCCCTCCTCGGGGGAGGGCTCGAGGCCAGCCGCCACCCCTGGGAGTGCCGACAGCCCCCAGCGCACGCGCCGCCTCGGCACGTCGCACACCCAACCCCGCAAACCCGCGTGCACACGTGTCCCCTGCGCCACAGGTGCGGTATCCGGACCGCATGTTCCTGATTCGGGGAAACCACGAGAGCAGGCAGATCACACAGGTCTACGGCTTCTATGACGAGTGTCTGCGCAAGTACGGCTCCGCCAACGTCTGGCGGTACTGCACAGACGTCTTCGACTACCTCAGGTGCGGCGCGTGCCCTTGCCAGCGCAGCGCACTGCCTGAATGAGTCGGGCCAGTCCTCGACCGGGGCCAGGCAGGGCACGGGGCTTTCCTTCCCGTCAGGCTCCTGGGGCCGTGAAACCCTGGCAGCCTCTGGTGTGGCCGCGTATTCGTACCGTCTGCCCACCACACTGCCCACTCCCCGACCTCGCCCCACTGCGCCCTGTCTGCCGCGCAGCCTGGCGGCGCTCATCGACAACTCCGTGTTTTGTGTGCACGGCGGCCTGTCCCCGGGCATCGCAAGCCTGGACCAGATCCGGGGCATCGACAGGAAGCAGGAGGTCCCCCACGAGGGGCCCATGTGCGACCTGCTCTGGTCCGACCCCGAGGAGGGGGTGGACGGATGGGGCCTCTCTCCGCGAGGCGCGGGCTTCCTGTTTGGACCAGAGATCACCACCCAGTTCTGCCAAACCAATAATGTATGCTGCGGGTCCAGGGCATGGGGGAGGATGCGAGATGGGGCGGTGCGCGCGTGGAAGCGGGCATGTGCGCGCCTGGGCCTCTGCATCCCAGGCTGGAGCTCCTGCCGACACTCCCTCCCCCCTCCCCACCGCGCATCCATCCCCCAGGTGGACCTCATCGCCCGAGCGCACCAGCTGGTGATGGAGGGCTACAAGACCATGTTCGATTCCAAGCTGGTGACCGTGTGGTCGGCCCCCAACTACTGCTTCCGCTGCGGCAACGTGGCTGCCATCCTCTCCTTCGACGAGGCCCTGGAGCAGGAGTTCCGGGTGTTTGAGGCGGCGGAAGGGGAGGCCCGTGGAGTGCCTGGCAAGCAGGCTGCGCCAGACTACTTCCTCTGAAGGGGGGCGGGTCCCCCGCGCTGCCCCTGCGACGCCTGCAGATATGTTACAAATCGCTGGCTTGCAAGGGGTTTAGCTAGGCACAAGGGGCGGGGGCCACCATTGAGGCCCCTCAAGGAATACAAGGTGAGTATTTCAGATGCAGGCTGAGCTATGTGTGTCAAGGCATGGTTATCTCGGGGGGGGGGAGGAGGCGGGCAAGCTGCTGTAATGTTCACGGGAGGGGTCCTGGGGCTGGCGAGGTGGGGGCGGCAGGCCCAAGGGCTTCACCACAGGAGGGTCTGGACACAAGGCAGGAGGCGTCTTTTGCTTGGACTTGGGGGTGCGAGGCTCATCCACCTCGAGGTTCATGGGGCGGAGACGTGACAGTGGTGGCCTCATTCACGGATTGGGGGGAGAATCACATGCCGATCCGGGGCCTGCCGTGCTCTGTCCGGAGGAGGTGGGGGCAGAGGGGTGACGATGCAAAAGTCATAGAGTGCAAGCAGCGGACACTGCAGTCCCCTCGCAGGCTTACATGGTCTCGGATTGGTGAGCGTGACAGGACGGGGCACGAGTTGCATATTAATGCCGGACCCCACTCGCGACTTTGCGGAGGCCCGACTCAGTTGATCATGGCGCTGTATAGCTTCAGTGCGCAAGAACACCGATCTGAGATTGCTGGGACCTGTGTGGGCGCTCGCTGGCGACGTCACCACTATGTCCAATATGGACGGTGTCCAGGGACGGCGCCGGAACGTTCAAAACCGCGTTGGATGGCGGGGAATCTGGGGCAACTGCATCTTCACTCCTCTGAGACGACCAGATTCGGCTAGGAAGGCAAACCTCGGCCCGATCCGCTTGTAAACATGTCATTAGCAAAAGGCAGGAATCGAGCGCGAGCCTAAGGCGGAAGGTGGGGGTTGGGTCCGGAGGAGTACTATGCGGTGAGTCTCACGCCGCGCTCGACCCTCGGCAGTCTGCATCGCAATCTGGCTACAGCCCTCGAAGCTTGGCCGGTAAATATGTTTTCCTGTGGCGGGAGGCGACATCAACAGGGCGAGACCGCGAAATCTCAACGCCGGGGATGCAGGCCCTCCAGCCAGGGTAAACCCTATCCACGCAGCTGGGCGAGGAAGCACCCGTTTCCCGTCCCAAGCAATAATTCAGTCAGCCTCTGTGAGCATGCCCAGGGCAGCGGCGGCTGCGTCATGCAGGCGCTGCCAGTACAGTGGCAGCGCAGCCGCCTCGGTCTGCACCCCTGCAGCCATGTCCAGACAGAGCGGGGCGTAGGCGTGCTGCAGGGGCTCGCACTCGCGCAGCACCCAGTCCAGTGGCAGGACGGGTTGCAGACTGCGCGCGGGGCCGGGCCTCAGCACGAGGCCGTGGCCCGCGAGGCCGGCGAGGCCGGGCATGCGAACCCCTTGGTGCCGCTCAACCATGCACCCCCGTCGCCGGCAGACCCCAGACTGCAGCCAGGCCAGCAGCAGCCAGGTTGACGCCACCAGCTCCAGCCCTGCGCTGGAGCCGGGGCAGGACCGTGCCAGGCTGGCGCAGCGCCCTGCCAGGGCATCTGCCAGGGGCCATGCCAGGTCTGAGAGCCAGCCCCCGGCCCCCCCCGCCCGCCTGGCCGGCATGCATTGTGTGGCAGAGCGCCACCACCAGCTGCACCAGGGGCGGGGGGGTGGTTGATGCAGCATCGCGTCCCTCAGCGACGCCTGGCACGCTATGCAGGCTGCGTCTCGCCTGCTGCCGGCAGCGGTGCTGCAGCTGGTCCGCCCAGCACGTCACATCTGGCATGGGAAATGATATGGGTTGGGGGAATGGGGGGCAAAGCTCAAAGTGCAAGCTCTGGAAGGAGCAGGAAGAGACGTCGGCGTGGGTTGGTCTAGAACTTGGCAGCCGCCACACCAGCCCAGACCCCTGTCCCACAGTCTACCTTGCAGGGTCGCGTGCATGTCCCTCTCCAGGGACTGCATGGTGCTGCCGGCATCGTCCCATACGATTCCGAGCAGGAGCACGCACCTGGAGGGTGGGAGGCAGGTTTGGGATCCCGGGTGAGAGGCATGCATGAGCAGCGTGCATCAGGCCAGCAAATGGTGGCAAGGAACAGGAGCTGTGGGGGCAGCCTCGGACAATATTGAAGCCCCTTCTGGACGCTGATGATGATGGGGTGCCGTCTCGGCTACAGCAAGCATCCGAGCTGCATTGCAGGTGCCGCAGCTGCTGCGTGCCCTCGAGGGTGCATGGCAGCTTGCAAGGGAGTGCCATGGCCGAGCATGGTTGCCACAGGCGTCCTCAAAGCTTGAGCCCCCCACCACCCCACCCCATGCTTGGAAAAGGGATTGCCTTCCCACCTGAGCTTGGCTCGGCTGACGACATCAGGGCATGCTGAAAGATCAGTCTCCCTCCTCAGCTGTCTCAGCAGGGACACCAGGTTGGCTCGCGACTGAGGGAAGGGTCTGGTTGCACCCATTGCCCTGCACATTGACAAAGGCCAATTGGGTGGGGAGGGTTTCTTCCTCGCCAAGAAAAATCTCTCCCGACAAGCACCTGCGTAATGCACACCGCCTCCCACAGCGATGAGGACCGCCGTGTGCATAGCGGGGTGGAGGTCCTCATAGGTGGACCGTGTCCCCAGCCAATTGCCGGACCCACCTGAGGTAGTTGTACATGGCGCCAAGCGGGTCACGGGGGGCTGGTCGACAGGTCGCGAGCACAGCAAGCTGGTTGAAGGGCGCCCCCGAGGCAGCGTGGATGGAGGCGGCCGTCTGATACGCGCGCTCTATGGCCTCCCAGTCCACCTCGCCAGCGGTGCGCATGGTCGTCTTGTACCTGTATACGCCGGTGAATGGAGGGGCAGCCCGCTGGCAGCACGCAACAACCCAAGGTGCGGGGTGCAGCAGACCCGCCCCCTGCTTCTTGTGGAAACCCGGCCCCCGCCCAGCACCTGAGCAGGTCCCCCATGGCGACGTGGCAGTGGCACACCGCCGCCTCCACATCGGCGTGGGGGCTGGCGCTGTGCTCCCCTCGTGGCGCGCCGGCGAGCTCCACGAGGGCTTCGTCCTCCGGCCCCAGGCTCTGCACCAGACCCACGCTTCCATACACACGCTGTATCTTGGAAGCCAGGAGGACGTAGAACACATAGGCTTCGTCCAGGAAGGCCTCCCCAGCGACCTGCACCTGTGCATCGGTGAGTGAGGGCATGTGTGTACTGAGAAGATATAGCTTGTCGCCTGCTGACCTTATAACAACAAAATTACAGACTACGTACCTTCTCTGTCACATCGTCTTGAGCCCCGCAGGTCAATCTGCGTCGGAATTCTTCGATGGGCTTGTAAAAGACCGCACTCCACAGCAAGCGGTCCACGCCTTTCCGCTGTAAGAGGGAGCGACGAGGGGCTTTAGGGCCGCAATTTAGATGGGTTTTGTCATCATTTCATTACAATAGTACATCTAGTAGCTATCTGTCGTAGGTGTAGTCTGAGCTCACCTTAGACAGCGCCAGGTCTTTGAGGATGGCACTCTCGCACCCGTCCCGAAGGCTCGCCCTCAGTCCCCGAGCATCTGGATGAAAAATCGTGCATGAAGCACTCAGCTCCCTCAGCTGCTTGTCCAGGCGAGCGCAGCGCACCAACTGATCGGCCATCCTTCTGTCCACCGCGTGCTGTAAATGGAGAGTTCATATGTCGTCGAGCAGGGCCAAATTTGGCGGGAAGAAAATAGTAGAAAGGAAGGGCACTCTCCCACTGCAAGGCCGCCGACGATCGCAGGGCGCTTACAGCGCAGGAGGCCCGACAGGCCCTCCCTCTTTCAAGCCTCGTTGGCCAGGAGCAGTTAATCAGCCGCCATGGTGGGAGAGGGAGCGCGTGGCTGGGAGGCAGTGTCGGGCTGGCGTCCCGACCCGGGCACGACCCGGCATCGGGGTGTGGGCCTACGTCTTCTACCGGGTGCCAGGGAACTCATCGTGGTAATATCCATTCCTACTCGTGCAGGGTATCGACCTGAGGGCCGGAGGCCGCAACACCAAGGTGCACCGCACCGCACCAAAGTCTCAGAACCCCTACGTGAAGCTGCTGGTGAAGGTGCGGAGGCGCCACGCGACATCTGTGGGCACCTGGGATTCACATGCACCTGAAGGAGGTGCTATCTGGTGGTCACGAGTGGCTTGGACCGGTCGCCCGCCTAATCGCGCATTGTTGTTGCGACTGGGGCACACCCCCACCTGGTGGCCTCCTTGCCCCCTGGCCGACCTCATCCCCTTTCCTGCCCCCCCCCTTTCACCACCACAGCTATACCGCTTCCTGGTCCGCCGCACGGAGTCCGACTTCAACAAGGTCATCCTGAAGCGCCTGTTCATGTCCAAGGTGAACCGCCCGCCGCTGTCCCTGTCCAAGCTGGCCAAGTTCACCGCGGGCCAGCCCGGCAAGATCGCCGTGCTCGTGGGCACCGTCACCGACGACATCAGGCTGCACGAGGTCCCCAAGATCCGCGTCGCCGCGCTGCGCGTCACCGAGACCGCCCGCGCCCGCATTGTCGCCGCCGGCGGGGAGGTGCTGACCCTCGACCAGCTGGCCCTGCTGGCGCCCACCGGCTCCAACACCGTGCTCCTGCGCGGCCCCAAGAACAGCCGCGAGGCGGTGAAGCACTTTGGCCCCGCCCCCGGCGTGCCCGGGTCGTCCACCAAGCCCTACGTGCGGTCCAAGGGCCGCAAGTTCGAGCGCGCACGTGGCCGCCGCAGCAGCCGAGGCTACAAGGCCTAGGCGCGTGGACCGGTTGTGGAGGTGGCGGTTGTGGTGCCGCCCGCTGGCAGCGCCCCGCGGGCGCGCCCCGGTTGAGAAGGTGCCCCCTGGGAGCCTGTCGCCGGGCGCCCACCTGCTGTGCTGGCGTGAGGACCCTGCCCACATCTCATGCCTGCTGTGCCTGTGCTGGCACCTGCTGTATAGTGTGGGAAGCACACGAGTAGTGCAGGGAAGGGGTCGGGAGGGTCCGCAAGGTTGTGTGACAGATCCAGTGTGGAGCCTGGGAAATGTGGCGCAAGGTGCAACACTCCTCTTCTGCAGGAGTCCCTATCGGTGCAGTATCCAGAATGTCATCATCACACCCGGGCGGAATAGATCACTGGTGTGAGAGGAATATTGTTGGGAGGGGGCAAGCTCGACGCAGGACCAGCCCCGGCAAGGGTAAACAAGAACATGCACTCTCGCGCTGGCGTCAGAGCCTGGCCGGGGCGCGGTAGGCGACCACCCTCAGCGCAGTCCAGGCGGCCAGGCCAAGCGTGGCGGCGGCCACGATAGCCAGGCGCGCGGCGCCCAGCCAGGGCAGGCGCGCGGCGAACCCCGTGTCGGCCACCAGGCGCAGGGTCGAGTCGGCGGCGGCCAGCGCGAGCGCGACAAGCGTGACGGCAACGGCCGGCGCGTTGCGCCGCGCAAACTGCAGCAGGCGCACGGCGACGAGCAGCGGGCGGGCCGCGGCGTAAGCCGGCGCCAGCGCCAGGCTCACCGCCAGGCTGAGCAGGTACTTGGCGACCCACACGGCGAAGCGCAGGAGGCCGCTCGGGCGCAGCGCCGCCCAGCGGCCACGTGCGCCGCGTTTCTGAGGGATCCCAGCCCGCTGCGGCGGCGGCTCGCGCAGCGGCAGTGCAAGAAGCCAGGCCTCGGCCGCGCAGCGTGCCCCCGCACGGGCCGTGTCGGTGAGGAACAGGGACAGCAGGCCGGAGCCGGCGGCGCGCGCGGTCAGGCCCATGCCCGCCGCCAGCATCGGGTCCAGGCCTTGGAGAGAGGCGGGGCCGCGGGGGCCGGGCCTCCCGTGCCCGGCCCACAGCTCGCGGGCCTCCAGCCCGAGGCCCAACGCCGCCAGGCCGGCCAGCCCCAGGTCAGCGCCGCGCTGGCCACGCGGGAGGCGCGCGTGCGGCACCTTGCGCGCCGACCACAGCAGGCCCAGCGTGCCGGCGCCAAGGAAGGTGCCCAGCAGCGCCGCCGACCCGGCGCGCGCCTCGATGTGGGCCCCCAGCACGACCAGGGACGCCAGGTTGACGAGCAGGTGGATGAGGGACTGGATGCACAGAGCGTGGATAGCAGGGAGGCATGAGTAGAAGAAGGGTGACACTGTGCAGGGGACTCGTCCAGCATGATATACCTGCACATGGCTCCCATCCCCTCGACAAGCCTCCACTCTCATGCTTGGCACGAGACACAGTCGCAGTCCCCAGATGCAACGCCGCGCACCCCCCCCCCCACTCCATCCTCATCACCCACC